AACCACCAGCGTCCAAAGGATCCAAGGGGCTCAGGGTCCTCTGCCCATGGCTACACAAATCTCCCCAATCCGAATCCGCTTTGTGCAGGGGAAGTGATGCCATGGCTGAAATTACACAAACAAAAGGCACCCAACGCGACGAGCAAGAAACGCATCTCCGAAACCTCCTGACGGGGAATGTCTGACAACCTACACCCGAAGACGCCCGGGAGCTGCTCAACCAAAAGCATGACACGCGCCACCGCCATACAAAGGGAAGTGTGCACCTACTTTTTGCCGATTCAGAGCCACCACCCTAGAGGAAATACATCTGCAATATATATATATATATGTGTGTGTGTGTACGGGAACCCCGGCACATGGCCCAGGTGGACTGGCTTTACGGACCGGGCCCGACAGCTCGCCCGGGGGTCCCTTTGGCCCGACTCGAAGGCGCCGCGCCGAAGAGCGCCGCCACGGAGGCGAGGCTCTGCAGCGCCGGCACTGCGGAGGCCGCGCCGCAGCGCAGGGCCCCCCGGGCCAGGAAGTTCCTCGGGACGAGTGGGGGGGATGGGGTGGGCGTGGGGCTTCCCTTTAAGGAAACCATAGGAAATGGATGGTTAGCAGGAGATGGATGGTTAGGGGACGAGAAATGGAACGAACCGTTCGGGGATTCCCCTATGCAGGAAACCATGGGACATGGATGGTTAGCAGGGGATGAGAAATGGAAGGAAAGTGGGATGAGAAATGGACAGGGGCCAATGACCTTCCAATGAAGTTCCGAAATGGATAGGGGCCAATGACTTTCCTTGGCGGGATGAGTAATGGAATGCACCTGGGGATCTCCCCATACAGGAAACCAAAGGAATGAACGCAGGGGAGAAATGGAACGAAAGTGGGGATTCCCTTAAAGGAAACCATAGGGGATGATTAGGGGGTGGGAAACGGAAGAAAACACGGGGGGCCAGGAACTTCCGGAGTCAAGTTGCAGCCTTTCAGGAACACATGCCGCCCAGCCATCAAAATGGGGTTCCAAAACACGCCCAAAACAGTAGAAAAAACAAAAGCTTACATGAAACTTAAACTCCTTAAGTAAAGAACTGTGGTTGTACCAGTATTTCGTTCGACTCTTTCCACTTGTTGCATTCAACTTCTCGTATTGCGGAAGTTTCCTAACTAAACATCCTTTGATTAAACCGTTTGTTGGTTTTGGAAATTGAACCTGGGACCCCTCAGCGGAAACTACACGGCAAAGGCATAGTTCATTTGAGCCATTCCCTGATCCCCTACCTATGGAACCAGCAAGGGAAGCCAAACACTTGCTGGACCCTTGGCTCCCCTTCCCCTGCACCCTTGGCCCCATGTGTTCTAATTGATGACCGTCCCCGACAAAAGGAACCATATTTTAAGAACTGATATGTATGTATACATGTATATGTATATACATATTATACATATTTACATATAGGAGTTGCTCAACACGGTCAACAGGACACCAACTTTTTTAGGCAACCCTTGCTGCATTTTTAGAAGCACCCTTCTGTGTGCATACTTATATATATATATATATATCTACATATCCCTTTTATGAGGATTTCAGGTTTGGAAGCAAGGAACCAGTAGTCAGCCTCGCCGTAATGGTATCTTGCTCGTGGTCTGGGAATGAGGGACCCCTACTTGAGAAGCAGGTGAAGGAAAGCTAGCCAACCCAACACCGACATGTACGACTCAGTGGTTGCCAAGATGTTAAGAAAGGCAACCTTGAATGAACCGTAAACCCCCCCCCTCAGGCTTGAAAACATTGAGAAGCCAAATCAGACCCCTAAGTTGCTAAAGCAAGGAGAACTCAATGCTAGCATAGCTAGCTTTCGTGAAAAGTTCGGAAAGGGGGCTCCACGGTGTCCTTAAATGGCCCTGGCTGGCCGGTTACTACCCCCGGAAGGGGCCTGTAACCCAACGAATCCATGAGCACAAAAACCTTGTTCTTCTATTTCAAGGCAGGGAGCTAAGTGCAAAAAGCCAACCACCTGCAGAATTGACCGCATGAGCCACGGTCTAAAGGGTTGACAAGGGGCATTGACCGCATTGACCCTTGTGCATGTTTCCCTAAGAGTGGTTTGGCGGGTTCCACCTGAGGCTCGTCCCGTTTCTTACAGGTGAGGGGCTGCGGAGGCGACCAAGAGGCTAAGGTCCTCAGCTCATGCGACCCGTGACCCCCCCTGTGAAACGTGTCGACTGGTCGAATCTGTAGGTCGAATGGAAAAGCGGTTTGCTGCTAAATGGTCTAAGGCCTCATCCGGTCTCGGCAAGGATCCGGCATTGATAAATCTAGAACTTGTGAATTCAGAGCAAGTGGCTCGACACTTGGCTGGTTATATTCGGGAAGATGCAGGAACCCCGAAAGGGCAAAGGGCAGAAATGTCCGTCAAGTCTAGCAAGGAGTTCGAAACAATTAAACGGGTAAAAGGTGGAATCTTCTCTCACCTTGGATGCCCTCTGACTAAAACATGGTTCGATGCCTTTGCGTCGGCTCCACGTTGATGGAAAGTCATTGGCCCCTGTCCTACCAATCAACCAACCAACCAACCAACCAACCAACCAAGCAAGCAACCAAGCAACCAAGCAACCAAGCAAACGAGCAAGCAAGCAAGCAACCAAGCAAGCAAGCAAGCAAGCAAGGAAGCAACCAAGCAAGCAAGCAAGCAAGCAAGCAAGCAAGCAACCAAGCAAGCAAGCAAGCAAGCAACCAAGCAAGCAAGCAACCAAGCAGGCAAGCAACCAACCAAGCAACCAACCAAGCAACCAAGCAACCACGCAACCAAGCCAACCAACCAACCAATTAAGCAAGCAACCAAGCAACCAAGAAGCCAAGCAACCAAGCAACCAACCAACCAACCAAGCAACCCAGCAAGCAAGCAACCAACCAAGCAACCAACCAAGCAACCACGCAACCAAGCCAACCAACCAACCAACCAATTAAGCAAGCAAGCAACCAAGCAAGCAAACGAGCAACCAAGCAACCAAGCAACCAAGCCACCAACCAACCAACCAACCAAACAAGCAAGCAACCAAGCAAACGAGCAACCCAGCAAGCAAACGAGCAACCCAGCAAGCAAACGAGCAAGCAAGCAACCAAGCAACCAACTAAGCAAGCAAGCAACCAAGCAAGCAATTAAGCAAGCAAGCAACCAAGCAACCAGGCAACCAATTAGGCAAGTAACCAGGCAAGCAAGCATATACTCTAATATGATTTCATCTTGTTTGTTCTTACTTTATTAGTTTACCCAAAACAACGCCAGCAATGATAAAATATAGTTTGGTCAATTGAAAATGGAGATGCTTTACGAATACCTTTCTTAGGTTCCATTTTATATGTAATTATTTGTTGGTTGCATTAAATTGTTAAGGACTTGAAGCAGTTCGGATGGATGAAAGCCAAAGTGAGTACTACAAAGCGAGGTGGATTTTACCCATCCATAGCCTGTGGTCCTATCCTGGCCCCCATATTCATGCGAGGCAATGGCTCGCTCCCTCTGTCGGCTTTTTCGTGTCCCCCACGCCAACGGCTTCGCGGGCGAAGGCGCCACTTGCACTCGTTGGCCAGCAGCACTGCCGGCAGCAAAGAGGCGAAGCCCACGAGGAGATGGTTCACCTGGGCAGCTTGTCCCAAAGCGGGAAACTTCTTTTGGACCAATGAGCCAAGGTTGTGCGATTCATCATTTCTTGGCTGTTTATGAATCCATTTTTCCTCTAACTCTTTTTCGAAGAACAAAAAGGGGGTGCATCCAACTAGCCAACGATGTGGGTGAGCTGCCTCTGATGGCATCCCTGCCTAGCTCTGGCGGCGAGCCCACAAGGCGGGGTGCAGACCAGCTAGCCAAACACCTACTTAAACACAAAAACATGTTTCTCCTTGGCAGATTAATCCCAAGCCTTCTGTTCCTTTGCAGATTGCAGAGTTTCCATGAATTTCCGGTGGCTGGCTTCTAGGTTCGGATTTCAAACCAAAAGACGGGGGTGCAACTGAACGCAGGGGGGTCCCTTTGCTTTAATTGGGCTACAAGAGCCACCCCCCCAGAATAATTGCACAACTCCATAAAATGGAACCCAAAGGGAAACTTGTGGGAAGGGGGAAGCCGGATCCCACAAAAGATGTAGGATGGAGTTCAGCCCATGCGTACGCGCTTCCCAGAGACTTGTCCGCACCTTGCGTCCCCATGCCGAGATGCGAGCTGAGATGCTCTGTAGAGGTCCGGCTTGGCGGCCGCAAGGTGCTCCTGTGGGAAAATGGGCCGTGTTTCTGTGTGGGAAGCCCTGATAAAGACTTGGTTGATTTTGATCGGGGGTGTCCTCTTGTGGGGATATGTGGGGATACTCGGCCACTCTGTCACTTTGCAGGGGGGAGCCTTTGTATTGCAGGAAGTGGCCCACCAGCATGTCCAGAGTGGCTCACACGCACCTTTTTGAACCCATCCCTTAAACAGGCCAGGTGCAACACGGCGACAGCCAGTTGTCCAAGGCCCTCCGTCACCTGAGGTCAGGCTGCATAGCTGCAAGATTCGACGTCAAGCCCAGAAAGGGAAAAACAAGGCATCCAATGGCACTTTGTCGACCAATGAACGCCATCTTTCAAAGGCCTTTTTCTCTGAAGTCTTTGGGGGCAAAGGCCCTGCCTTTGGGTGGCCAAGCGGCGCTTCAAGGGACCTCCGGGTCGCCCCCACCCATCCACCCGGTCCGTGACCCAAACGAGCCAGATCTGCGGGCCCAGGGTGATCACCCCGAGGCACAGCAAGCCTGGCAGCCAAAAGGGCGCACCTCTCCTTTCGGGTGCAAATGGGTAAGGCAAACGTAGAGTGGCAAATGCTGATAAGGTCCGTTCCAACCCAGGGTCTGGGATCCTCAATCAGGTGGCAGGGTGAAGAGACGGTGCAGGTTGGATCAACGACTGCCCCCGCTTGAAGCCGAAATACCTATGCAGCGACGCCCCAAAAACCTGAGGAGGGGGGGGTCCCACTAAATGCGCCCAGCTTTGCTCAGCTTGGGAGCAAGCCTCCCGGTTGACTTGAGCCACGTGCAATGCAATGGCTTCCCCAAGAAGACATGCCCGGCCGCGGAGAATTAGGGTTTTGGGTTTGCCTCCGTGTCCCCCCAAACCAGTGGACCCATGATGCACTGGGTGCTGAATGGGGGCCTGGAGAAAAACACCCACACCCTTCGCCATCTGGGTAATTCGCCCCCATGAATCAGAGCCATTTGGCCTGAATGCCAGGCCAAATATTATTTAACATCCGTCATTCTTCACCCCTGTTATGGGTTGCCATATTGTCCGACATCTTCGGTCCGGGCCATAGATGCACCCGACCGCGCATGGGATCCCATGGGCCTAGCCGCGGGAAGGTCGAGGCCCGGAGGTACGGCTCGTAGCGCCAGAAACGCCAGGTCCTCGCAAATGCCTACCCCCTGCCATCAAAGTCAAGGGACACTGGGAGCCAGGAACACACACACCAAAAAAAAAACAAAAAAATTACTTCGCTTCGAGCAACCCCCACCCTCCACACTCACGAGCTTACGACCGTCAAACTCCACTTGTCTGCGAACTGATCTCGAGAACTCAAACATCGGTTCCGTTAACAAAAGCCAAGCCCCTTCCAAACACAAACCTGACGGGGGATTAAACGAAGTTGCTTATTCACAACCCAAAGCAACACAAAAGCTTCCCTTTCCGATCTCTCGCAAAACACGAGGGCAGCCCCACTGCGCGCCGGGCGGGACATTAAGCAAAACCAGACTGGCAAGCTTTTCTGGCGGGACACTGGCGGGATCCACTGGCGAATAATGGCGAGCAGCTCCGGCTTGATACTGGGAGGATACTCGGAAGGGATACTCAGCGGGATACTCGGCGGGATCCACTGGCGAGCTACTGTGTGGGATACTCAGCGGGATACTCGGCGGGATCCACTGGCGAGCTACTGTGTGGGATCCACTGGCGAGCTACTCTAGCGGGATACTCGGCGGGATCCACTGGCGAGCCTCTCTGGCAGAATACTCGGCGGGATCCACTGGCGAGCCGCTCTGGCAGAATACTCGGCGGGATCCACTGGCGAGCGGCTCGGCGGGATACTCGGCGGGATCCACTGGCGAGCCGCTCTGGTGGGATACTCGGCGGGATCCACTGGCGAGCAGCCCTGGCGGGATACTGGGCGGGATCCACTGGCAAGCAGCTCTGGCGGGATACTCGGCGGGATCCACTGACGAGCTGCTCTGGCGGGATACTTGGCGGGATCCACTGGAGAGCTGCTCTGGCGGGATACTGGGTGGGGGCGTGGTGTAGAAGCATCGCAAACGTGGATTCCAACATAAAATCTAACAACCCCTTCCTGTCGGGTGGGGAACACGCCAAAAAACAACAACAAGTCAGGCACCACAAACGGCACATGAGAAATCGTTGTCTCACTACAAATGGATGAGCCAGGTCGACCATTGCACCCATCAAACCCAGGTCGCCCGTTTCAAATTCACCAAATAAAGGACATGATGAAAGCATCAAACCCTGCATCAGTGGGAGCCTCCCACTTCCGTGATACCACTAGAAAACCTTCGCGAAGTAGCTTTTTCCATGTACAGGGGAGGTTCCCTGATATCACTGAAGTGGGAAAAAAGTCTCCTGATTCCCGCAACCATGACAATGGCGTTGCCCAGGACCAAGAAGTCCCATGTGCGGTTCTTGGCTCTTTTGGAATTCAGCCTAGAGGGAACTTGCAAACATATCTGCCCACCGCCCAACTGCCCTGTCCATCCCTGTCCTCATGCCCGTCATGCAGAAAATGACCACCAGCGAAATCATCGTCGAGGCAACCACTTGGTGACGGATGGGCCTGAAAGGCGCAGGCGGGCTGTCAGGCACAAACATGTCAAAACTAGGAAGCCTTACCTAGTTCCACACGTATTTGGGTTGAACAGCATCCACAGACTTAGTCTGGTCTAATTGCTAGCCCTTATAGATCCTTATAGTATAGTAGAGCAAGCTAGGGAGGAACTGGTTGCGGACGTTGCTGTCAGACCGGTTGACAACAAGTTGGAGGACTCCTTGGACCCCATGCCTCACCCCTATGCACACGCATTGCAGGGAGAGGTCGTTCTGGGTCGCCACTATGCAGCTGCCATGCCTGAGCTCGAGCCCCGTGAGGCACATCGGCACGTCCCGGCCAGATTTGACTTGGGAACGAAATCTGATGTCTTCAACCTAAAGCTGGCCCTAAAAGAACACATACACAGAACCTCACAGCAAAAGCTGCTTTTGCTGCTCTCCGCCGTGGGGCATCTTCTCTGTGCAAGCGGCGGGGCAATATCCCGGCCCTTCCCCGAAGCAGCTCCAGGCGTACCTCTGGCGATCGAGGCTGCTCCCGGGTTTGGGATGGAAGGCGTATCGCCGAAGCTGGGCAAGCCCAGCATGGAAGCCAAAGAACGCCGGCAAGATTTCATACGAGAAGTGCTGTACTGGCAGTGGTGCATGCGCGAGATGTTGATGCTTCGTGTGGTGCAGTCTCGAGTAAGCAGTCGCGTGGGCGACGAGTTGACAAATCATGTGAAACGGTTTTGTGGGGATGGCCTGACAGTTTGCGAAGCCCTGCTTGTCCAATAAGTTCCGAACTTCAAGAAAGCTAAAGCTAAGTAGCTAAGAATGGGGGGGGGTACCATAAAACTGAAATAAGCCAGGGAAAATAATATGTTACCCTCGGCGACTCAGTGGGCCGACTTGCTGACGCGGCACCTGCCCTTCACAAGACGGCAGGGTGCCTGACTCCACCAACCACCAGTGCCGACAATGCAAATTCAAAGTCAAAACGCAAAACTTGGCCAGCTGGTTGAAAAAGACAAAATGAAGGAACCCAAAAGCGCAAAAGGGCAAACCTTGGTTGAGTCTTACAATGAAAAGGACCGGACTCCTTCCCAAAACCGCCCCCCGGTTTCTGCCATGGGGCTGTACGTCACAAGGCTCCCCATGGCTGCACTCTTTCATTTTCATTTCGTTCGGCGATGCCAGGTAGATCCTCAGCCACAAGTTGGCCAAATATCCTACTTAGAGGTTCTGACCATGGCTATAAGGGAAGTGCCCCGGTGGGTTGGACACCCAGGCGTGCAACATGGGGTTGAGCCATACCGCCCATTCGAGCCCGTGAAAAGGAGGCGTGCCCCGGTTTGGGCCGCCTTCTTGGGAGACATGGATCTGGTCTGCCAAAGTTAACTTTTCTAGTTGAACGGAACATTGAGAAAAGACCGAAAAGGAAAACAGGATCAAGAGGTAAAAGCTAAGTCTGGCAATGCTTTAACTTCAGCCAAAGGGAATCTAGATAGAGGGCAAACTTGCGGGTCGGAAAGAGGCAGGCATGGACCAAATTCTGTTCAAGGGTATGATTTGATCTCAACCACTGACGAAAAACGGATTCACTGTGCCATACAAACCCGGGGCTTCCAACAAATGCTGTTATTCACAAGAACGGTTTCTTGAGCAGAGGGTAGGCCCAATTTCTGACTTCGACTGTTCCTTTCCTGGATTGAAACATTCCCGAAATCGAAAGCTCAATCAGGACCACTTGATGTGGTTTTATGTGGGCCGCGAACCCGCCACACAAAATGGGGGGGGGGGGCGAGTGGTTTTAAGGGTTGAGCTGGGTTGAACTATCGGTTTACCATTCAAAAGACAGACACAAAGCCCCAATGCCGCCAATGTGTATAAGCGCCCAGCTGGAAAAAGCTTGCATCGAAGCAGGGCAAACCTGGGTTTCATACAGTAGCTAGATTTTTGTATGTTTTACGGTGGCCGGGCAGGAAGGATTGAGTGCGGGGTATGATTCGTGGGTATCTTTCGGGGGTATGATTCAGGGTATGATTCCGGGGTATGATTCGCTGTCGCAGTAGCAGCAGCAGTAGCAGTAGTAGAAGTAGTAGTAGTAGTAGTAGTAGTAGTAGTAGTAGCAGTAGTAGTAGTACTAGTAGTAGTAGAAGCAGCAGCGCCGGTCTTGGCAAGGGAGGTAGCAATAGTAGTAGTGGTAGCGTAGCAGTAGCAGTAGCAGTAGTCGTAGCAGCAGGATTAGTAGCAGGAAGCGCTGGTGGTGGTTGTTGTGGAGACAAACGGTAGGAGAAAAGTAGCATCTTGCATTGCAGCATATTGAAGGAGTATGATTCGGGGGGATGACTCGGGGTATGTTTCGGGGGTATTATTCGCCAAAGTCCCACCTTCTGCCTTTTCAAGCAACTCAACACCACCACCACCACCACAACAACAACAACAACAGCAACAGCAACAGCAACAGCAACAGCAACAGCAACAGCAACAGCAACAGCAACAACAACAACAACAACAACAACAACAACAACAACAACAACAACAACAACAACAACAACAACAATCACAGCCACAGCCACAACCACAAGCACAGCGACAGCGACAACGACCACGACGACGACCACGACGACGACGACGACGACGACAACCACAACCACAACCACAACCGCAACCGCAACCGCAACCCCAACCACAACCACAACCACAACCACAACCACAACCACAACCACAACCACAACCACAACCACAACAACAACAACAACAACAACAACAACAACAACAACAACAACAACAACAACAACAACAACAACAACAACAACAACAACA